ATGATATCAACATGATTTACTAGTGATGTTAACCTTATCACTTTGTTCTGGTGTTGTCTCCTGAATTTCAGTTAAAAGTTACAATTTCCTTTTCTTTGCAGTGCTATGGATGGATGCCAGGGTTTTGCACATGCTGAGCTATAGCCTAGCCCCTCTTTCCACACTTTTCATTGGAAGTAAGTCCTGTTTATACCAAAATGTAATGGAATTAAGCTCCAGCTTTTGGATGGAAAGGTATCAAATAGTTTGTAGTCATATATTAAAACTACCACAGGGGAGCTGTGTGCAGTGGCATGCCTCTGTAGTCTCAGCTACTCAGGAGGCTGAGGCAGGAGAATCAGTGGAGCTCATGGGTTTGAAGTCAGCCTGGACAACACAGCAAGAATTACTTTCAATTTCTGTGGGTAACCTGTTTCTCCTTAAAGATTTTCCCAGAAGTTTTAACATTCATCAGCGGAGCTTGTCTTCAGCAACTATTGCTGTTTTATTCAAATACTGATTTTTTAATTTCACTTATTGATTTCACGGGTTTTTTTGGTTTTTTGTTTTTGGTACGGGGGATGCAATTCAGGACCTTGCACTTGCGAGGCAGGTGAGGTGCCGCTGAGCTAAATCCCTGGCCCGATTTCACATTTGTTAATTGGGATTATTCTGTAAGAAGACTTGTCCGTTCTCCATTTATTTATTCATTTATATTAGAGTAAATGAATAGACATCTATTTTATTACTTGTTTTATAATCCAATATTACTTATCATGTGGCACAAATTGTTATAGTTTTGGCAATTGTTAGATCTTTCAGGTTGGCTCTATGTCTCTTACATGCCCCCATCTTTTTATTGGGAAGGACATACTTCCTTAGTTTCTGGAACTATAAGACAGTCCAGACTTATCTTGCATTCTTCCTGTCCCAGACCTATAATCAAGTATTTTATTTCTCCACGGAGGTACATAGTTCCCTCTGCTGGAAAATGCCATTTAGAAATCAAGCTCTTAGCCAAGTGTGGAGGTTCAATGTCTGTAATTCCAGCACTCTGGGAGGCTGAGGCAGGAGGATCCCAAGTTCAAGCCCAGCTTGGGCAACTTAGTGACTTAGCAAGACCCTGTCTCAAAATAAAAAATAAAACAAGGACTGGAGATATAGCTCAGTGCAAAACAAACAACCTCCAAAATCAAGCTGTTCAATTCTCAGTGAAAATAACAACAACAAGCTGTTGACATTAGGTATGTTCATTGCTAATGGGGTATCACTGCTACAAATGTCACAGAGGTAGGAAATACATGTGTGTATTCTAACTCATGTGAACATTATTTTTATTTTTTAGCTAGCAATTTGCATTGATTCAAAAGTAAATATGAGTCCATATTGATATCTCTGACTCAAATCCAGAACCACAGGGTTCCTTTTAGCCAGCTGCCTGCCTTTGTTTATTGTACTTCTTTCTTTGACAGTTAGGGAAGAAAAAACAGATATATTGTCTACATTTGTGTGGGCCTATTTGGAGTTCTCTATTCTGTTCCACTGACCTATGTCTCTAGCTCTTTGTTAATACCATACTGTTGATTACTTTTACTCTATAGTGAGTCTTAAAATTGAGTAGTGTGAATTCTCTTTCAGAATTATTTTGGCTACTTACTCGTTCACTATACCAATTTTAGAATCATCTTGCTGTACTTGTTAGGGTTATATAGAAGACAGAACAAATAGGGTAGATATAGATATACAGAAATATGACAGGAGACTTATTAGGGGAATTAGTTCTTATAATTATGGAGGCTGAGAAGCCCATAACAAACTATCTGCAAGCTGGAGACCCTTAGGTACTTGTAGCATGCCTCATCCAAGTTTGAAGAACTGAGAACCCAGGGTGAGAGGTGCTGTTTTCATCCTGAAGTCCAAAGGGCAGAGAGCATGGAGTTCTAATGTCCAAGGACAGAAGAGTGTATCCCTGTGCCAAGAGGAAGACAGAGACCACTTTTCCTTTTCTCTTTGTATGTTCTATTTAGGCCTTCAGCTTATTGATGGGACCTACTTACACTGAGAGTGGATTGGTTCTACTTAGTCTGTTCATTCTCTTCTGGACACATCTTCACAGACACAGCCAAAATAAATCTTCACCAGTTCTCTAGGTATTCCTTAGTCTAGTCACGTTGACACCTAAGATTAACCATCAGAGTAGAAAAAATATTGTTGGGAATTTGATCTGGATTATGTTGTATGTATATATAATGTTGGGGAGAACTGATATCTTAACTATATTGAATCTTATGATCCATGAGCATAGTCTCTTTCCATTACTTCTTTGATTTCCTTCATAACATTTTTTACTTTTAAGCATACAAGTCATGTGTGTGTTAAACATTCATTTTTTGTGATACTGTATGTTATATTTTTAAATTCTGTTTTTTCACAGATGGCACATAGGATATAATTGGCTTTTTATATGACAGTGTATCATGAAAACTTGTTAGTTCTAGGAAATTTTTTGTAGTTTTTAAAAAACTTTTTTTACATAAAAAATATCTAGAAATAGAGTTTTATTTTCCTTTCTGGTCTGAATATCTTTTATTTCTTCTTATCTTACTGCCTTGTCTAGGATTTCTAGTGTAAAGTTGAATAGAAGTAGACAGAAAGGACATCCTGACCTTGTTTCTGATTGTAGGAAGAAAGCCTGCAGTTTCTCACCATTCAGTATAATGTAATTTATGGGTTTTTGTAGATGCCATTTATTAGGTTAAGGAATCCTCATTCTATTTCTAGTTCACAGGTAAGTCTTTTTAAACCATAAATGGATATTTCGTTTTGTCAAATATTTTCTCTACTGAGAAAATTATATACAGAGTGTGTCAAAAATGTATACACACTTCAGGAAAAGAAAAACAGTATGATGTTTTTTCAACAGATGGTGTTACCTTTGTATGGGTGACCCTAGAGGATGGTATATCACAGAAAACCCACTATGCTGCTGCCCCTTAGAGAAGAAATTGAAAATGCATGTGCAGCAATCTCAATGATCAAGGTTCCCCAAGCAGCAGTTCACCATATTCATAAATGTCTGGAAGCTAATGGCCACCACTTTGAGCACCTCTTGAAATTGTATAGGCCAAAGGTAACTTGTAATCTCATGATGTCTCAGTAAATTTAGTATTAAAATATTTATACAACTTTTTCTTTTCCTGAAGTGTGTATATATATTTTTGGCAGACTCTGTAGTTTGTCTTATTTATTATTTAGTTTGTTAATATGGTGAATTACAGTGATTTTCAAATATTGAGACAGCTTTACATTCTTGGCATCAGTGCTTCCTTGTTGTGGGATGTATATATATATACATATATTCTTGTATATATATATTATGTTCTTGTATATCTTAGATATGAATATGTATATATTAGATATGAATATGTATATCATATGAATATATCTATATAATGTATATATGTGTACATATATACATACGTATGTATATATAATTATATAACATATTTGTACATATTCATACATATATATAACACTTATATTTTGTGAAGATATTTGTATCATGATCATGAGGGATTTGGTCTGCATTATTATTTTTCTGTTGTAATTTTCTCTGGTTTTGGTATTTGGGTTGTACTAGCCTAAAAAATGAGTTGGGAAGTATTCCCTCTTTTCTTCTGGGAGAAAGTTTATATTCTGAAATGATGGCACGGATGTGAAGAAATTGGAATTTTCATGCATTGCTTGTAAGAATGTAAATGTTGCAGCCTCTAGGAAAAACAGTTGGGAGTTACTCAATATAAGCACAGAATTACCATAAGACCTATAAATTCTACTCCTAGCTACATACTCAAAATAATTGAAAACAAGTTTTCAAATGAAAACTTATATAGCTGCTCCTCAGCTTACTATGGGGTTTATTCATAAGTTGAAAATAGCATAAACTGAAAATGCATCTAATACCCATAACCTGCCACACATCCTAGCTTAGCAACACAGCACTCTACAGAGTTGTCAGTTGTTTCCCCTCATGATCACAGGGCTGACTTGGAGATGCAGCTTATTGTGCTGCCCATCATCATAAGAAAGGATCAGAGTGAATACTGCTAGGTCAGAAAAGAACAAAATTCCAAATTGAAAGTATGGTTTCTACTAATGCATATCATTTTCACCACTGTAAAGTAAAAAACATATCATAAATCAAACCATCAGTAAATCCTAGTACTTAGGAAGCTGAGGCAGGAGAATTTCAAGTTCAAGACCAGCCTGTGCTACATAGAAAGTTCAGGCCAGCCTGAACTACATAGCAGGATCTTGTCTCAAAAAAACAAAATTGAAAAAAAAACATTAAATTTGGAACCATCTATAAACTAACATTCATGAAAGCACTATTCCACGATAGCTAAAAGATGGAAACCAGTCAATGAATGCATGAACAAAATATGGTCTATCCATACAATGAAATATTATTGTCATAAAAGGAATGTGTCATGGATACATAATACAACATGGATGAACTTTAAAAATATTATGCTAAATTAAAGAAGCAAGACACAAGCCACATATTTTATGACTTAACTTATATGAAATATTCAGAATAGTCAAATCTCTAAAGACAGAAAACACTAATTATTGCCAGAGTTGGGTAAGGGTTTCTTGTGAGAGAGGGGTAGAAGGTGGCTGCTTAATAAGTAGGGTGTTTCCTTTTGAAATGATGAAAATATTCTGAAATTAGATAGTGATGATGGTTGCTCAAATCTGTGAATATACTAAATGTCATTGAATTATACATTTTAAAATTGGTGAATTTTATATTTATTATAATAAAATGCATCATATATCAAAATACAAAACATAAAAGCATAACTTTTCTAGAAAAAAACATGGAAGAAAACTTTTTGATCTTAAAGTAGCAAAGATTTCTAAGATGCAAAAAATACAATCCATTAAAAACTTGATAAATTACATTTCGTGAAACAACTTGTGTTCTTTAAAAGGAAAAAAAGCCTAATCTTGGGATAAAATAATGGCAAAACATGTATCTGACTTGTATCAAGAATTTGCAAAACAATTCTCAAAACTCTATAATAAGTAAACAAACCATAAAAGTGAGCAAAAGATTTGAGCAAACACTTCACCAAAAAGAACAAATAAGCTCCTCACAGCAACAGGGCTTCCCTTCCTCAGCTCGGCGCCAGGGGCTCCCCCGCGGCGCCACCGCCGCCGCTGCCGCCGCCGCCGGCCGATCCTCACTGTGTTTGTGGCCCGCGGCCGCCAGGCAGTTTATGTTGGTTTTTAGTCGTCAGGGAAAGCTTCGACTGCAGAAATGGTATGTCCCACTGTCAGACAAAGAGAAGAAAAAGATCACAAGAGAACTTGTTCAAACCGTTTTAGCAAGGAAACCTAAAATGTGCAGCTTCCTTGAGTGGCGAGATCTGAAGATTGTTTACAAAAGATATGCTAATCTGTATTTTTGCTGTGCTATTGAGGGTCAGGACAGTGAACTAATTACCCTGGAAATAATTCATCCTTACGTGGAATTACTTGACAAGTATTTTGGCAGTGTGTGTGAACTTGATATCATCTTTAATTTTGAGAAGGCCTATTTTATTTTGGATGAATTTCTTTTGGGAGGGGAAGTTCAGGAAACATCCAAGAAAAATGTCCTTAAAGCAACTGAACAGGCCGATCTCCTGCAGGAGAACAGAATACGTATCACAGTAGGAGTTTCAATGAGTGATCTAAGAAAAAACCCGTACTAGAATACATGCTGGAGTGCTGACATGCATCAAAACGTAGTAGGATATATGAATTCAGTTGACATTTATAATTTTGTCAAGCTTGTTATAGTTTAGCATTACTTAGAAAGCCTAAATTACATTAAATCCCAAGGGATAGTCCCAATTATTTCATTAAACTGATGCTTTCATAAGGAATTTTGCTCTGATAGTGATCAGTCACTGGGGCTTGTAATTTATTTTCTACAGAGAATATTGAAATAGGTTTAGAGGTTCACAAACAAAAAGATATTTATTAAATACTGTGATTTGCTAATACCATCAATAAAGTAGAATTTCCCTATGAAAACAAAAGCTTCTGTAAGGAATTGAATTGGGGGTTGTTTGTTATTAATATTTATTTTAATTGCTTGCTGTTTAATTTCACTACTATCTTTTCTGAGTGGAGAAAAACGGGCAGCTATCTCCTTAAAATGTTTATGACTGGATCTTATCCTCAGATATTACTGTATTTAATGGCTGTATAAATGTAGGAATGTTATTTTTGGAGGGACAGTTTACATGCTTTTGTAGCCAAATATCTCAGAGTTCAAGCTTGAATAAATATAAAATGGAATAGACAGAATTTTCCATGTTATTTCAGGAAATTGGGGCAGGGGCAGACAGGATCAGTTTAAACCCCACTTCAGGTTACCTTTTTTGCCTTGTTGATGTGAGAAACATCTTGTGAGATAAATTTGTAGGTATACGCATTTAAATAGTTTTGTTTGGAGAGTTCTCTAAAAGTCTAATTTGAGGATTTAAAAAAAATTAATATCTTTATTTTCAAAGTCATATTCATTGGACTTACTGTTTTGTAGCTAAGTGAACAGTTAAAAGCCTTTATTGTTATTTAAAATACCATATGCATGACTACTTCCATTTTTCTCTTGGAAGATTTTCCTCTAGGATCCCCTGCTTCATGTGATAAAATCCTGATGAACTTAAGATACTGGTGGAAGGATTTATTCTGTTTTTTCAGTTAACTCGGCACTGACTAGGTGACTTAAACTGAAGATCTTTTCAGAGTATTACTAGTAAATATAA